CGAAAAATGGATTTCTAATAACTGCGTTAATTCAAACGTAGCCAAAATACATAGCAGTACGCGGTTAAGCATACTAATGGAGCGTATAAGCTACGTAGCCATTATTGGCCACCATGCAAAACGTTTCCTATTTAATGTCGCTATATAACACGTCAAATACTTGAACGGCAGAGTATTGTGTTTTTTTCCAAAACAGAAATCATCAAAACATATTAAAACGGAAATTAGAAATTCGTGTTTTACACTTGATCGCTGCAAAACGTCATTCACTTTTGAATTGGATATACCGTAACTAAGCTACTGGCTCTCATTCTTGAGGGGATTAGGTAATTGTTCGGTTATTGCGGGCAAATTGCAAATAAAGCGCTCCAAGTATGTGAAGTGGCAAGGGAACGTTCCTTTATCAGCTTACAAGATTTAGCCATGTGCCTTTGGCCCGCTGCCGGAATTGCTCTCTAAGCAACTAAGTTCGTTGTTGATTAAACTATAGAAGGATTACAGGCTTCTCACTGAGCTGTTAATTTTCTGAATACAATATAGTACATTAATTGTTTATTTTTAACTGAGCTGACTCAAGTTAAGCCACTGTAAATGGTTCATCCAAAGGCCTGCGTTTGGCAGAAGATGATTTTGACCGTTGCACCCACCAGCTTGCTGCTTGCTGGCACAAAAAAATGCAAGTACTGACAAATTAAATTTGTGCGCCCCGGCTTAAAGGTTTCGAACGACGACGATCAGATGATTCACAACTTACTGTGGAATCGAAAGCCTTTTCCACTGCTCCTTCGTTTAATGCCTTTAAACTATCTGATTATTCCCAGGTTTCGGTTCATTTTTATCTTCCTTCCCTTCCACGATATTAGACTTTTATTTAAGCTCCCGAACCTTATCTTTAGTTGGTATCTCGTCGCATTCTTTCGGAAATTTCTTATGTGAGATGGTACATATCGTCACACAAAAAAGTAATTCGAACGATGGGCTTATCTAAGTGACAGGAAGAGTTTTTTTTTTTCAAGTGATTCCTTCCATACCGGATTCTTTATCCTCCATTCGCACGTCCACAAAACTTACGAAGTTTTTAGAGTGAAGAATTCCCTAATTGATTGATTAACCTTAGGTGATAATGTCAAACCTGTCCGAACTTGGGCATTGACTGAATAATTTCATTCTAGAGATATTAAAAGTCACCTGGAAATGATACTAATTTTTGATTTTCAGCAGACTCTTGTCGGATCATTTGTCTCAAGCTTTCATAGATAAGAAAAACTCGAGCCAATTGGTACGATCCAGTGATCTTCATACAACGCATAAATCTCTTTAATGTGTTACCTTGTTACCACACAAGGCCCGTTAATAAACTACCTTCTCTTTCCGCCGTTAATCCACTTAGATACTTTTAATCCAGTCAGCAGTAGTTATCTTTACTACTTCACCCATTGACCTCTTTGGTCCGACCTAATATCTCAATCAGACGCCTTCTGTTGGACTCGGACGTCTTCGGAAAATTAGTGCGTCACATTCGTAAAAACTAAGGCTCTCCATACTGACCCTTGGTTGGAATATCCAAGTCCCACAGATGATCCATATGGATCCTCCCTTAGCGAGAGTAACTCAACGCAACAATTTGGTGTCAAATCGATTGCAACCTATTTGCTTGAAAAGATTTCATCAAAGTCCAATGATCGGAGCCTCCAAAATATTTTTTGTCAAATGCATCATATGTATACCTTTATTAAGTTGTTTTTGTTTTATGTTTTGGTTTAAAAGAAACAGAAACGATTGCAAAGTGCAACTACTGATTCATGTTTTTTCGCCGGTCGCGGATGATTTGTGCTTTCCTCATTGTTGCTTCAGTCGGTAAAATTAAGAGTTCCTTCCAGAAGTCTATGGAAAGGTATTTACCTTCTAAGTGTAATCTACGCCCATGCAAGCTTTTCATCAGTTTTAAATGTCAAAATCTCATCAAAAATTTTGTAAACATGTTAGCTTTCATCAGCCTCTCATGCTTTTCTACACAACGATACTTCATCGCTCTCTGGTATCATTTTCCTTACAAGAAAGAAGACAAGATATTCAAAAAGTGAACCCCGCACCATGCTATGTTTCTTCCAAATGCATGAAAAGATTTTGCATGATTTTATGATTAGCGATCAGGGGGTCAACACGAAACTCAATCATCTGGAGTAATGGCGTTATGCAAAGATGTCATGTTAACGAGACATACTTCCGTAATAGGTTTAACTGAAGGCTAAGGAAGATAATTAAATTAACTCAGAAAGAATTTTGTGGGAATGCATCTGTCGTGATCACGCGTGTGTAGAATGTTATTTTCGCAAAATGCTACGGCATCGATTTACAACCACAGTGTGTAGGTTACGTTGCAAACCAGGATTAATTTACATACCTCTCGTAAGTCTTTTGAGAAAAATCTGTCAAGAAGGGCCTCTAAGGCTTAAAGTCATGGTACTAGAACATCGTTACTTCCTCGTTTTGTTGGTTGGTCTTTTCATAGTTCTTAGAAGGCGCCTCTATGAATATCACGTGCAAATCGAGTTGACATGGGAGGAATAAATGAGGTCACCAGGTGGGCTTTCAAGCACCACATTTGTTATTCTAAAAGCACTTTGTCAGTTCTACAAATACTTAGGCGGGTTCTCGACAGATACAACGTAATTGAACTTAATAAAAGTGGCTGCTAAAAGCACTCACCACATCTTGAGCCATATCACCGCTGCGGAAGTCGCCTGACAACTTGACGGAGGCTACGAAATTTTTTTCCAGGAAACTGAAAAAGACAAAATGCAAAATGGAATTATGGAACCAAAATAGAACATAGATGGTGAAGGATCGAGGAAAAAAAAACGGGTCAGTATCGGACGACGACGACCTTGCAAAGTTTGAGCTACATTATTGTGAGATGCGCAAACCGTGACAGTCATGGTACACAAAATAACACTGTCAGCTTTGAAATCTGTTTTGTAAGAGCAGAAATACCTTTGAGGACAATTGGGGTAATAATCGACTCCTTTCATTGAAAATCTGAACGACCCCGGCTCCCAAGCTGGCGATTGCCCGGTATTATTGCTGTGTCATACAATCGTTGCTCACATGTAGCAAGTCTTGAGATAAGAATTTCCAATTCCTGTATTTATTTGCTTTTTGCATAGACCCTAAATAAGTCTATTTAGGAGATCTGATATCGAGGAAACATTCATGAATTTGTCGTTTCCTCTTTTCTTTTGAGTTCGAGAACAGTGTCAAAAAAAAATTGCAGTCAGTTCATGACATGAGAGATTTAACTTGGCACGAATGCTGACAACTTTATTATTCCTTTTTTGCGGGCGAATATCAAACGTACTTGACCCGCTTTTCAAGTTCATGCGCCAATAAGGCACATCCGATACTTTTCATTTCTCAAGGACCTCTGACACTCTGTCCTCTGTCTTCCCTGCACGGATTATTTCAAGTACGACTTTTTACTTTGTCTCCAATGTATGTATTTTTGTTTGATTGCTTAAAAGAGAGGATTAGGGCATAATTAATTTATAAAATGATCTTAGTTACAAAATGTTCGGAGAGCAGTTTGGGCTTCTGCGCCAGATTTGGTGGGATACTGTTGTAGAATTCAATGCGAGGGTAACATACCTTACCCTGCTTCCACGCTAACGGTTGTTTTATAACATTTTCCTCTTTTCCATTGCTCTTGGAAAGAGCGTTTCAGTTCTAAATAATTGATCCCAGTACGGTTCATTCATTCACTTGCGCCTGAGACCTCTCCTGTATATCAGTTTGTCACAATGTCCTAGAATGGAGTTCCCGTAAGTGAAAAAGTTTTCAATACCAAATACTGCAACGACAGCTTTATAATCTTTTCGTGAGACTTCGCTTTTGGGACTCTTTAGGAAAACATCTTTTTCAATTAACGTTAAAAGTTTTTTGTTTATTGCTAATTGGTATTGACAAAACTCTATAAATAGAAGTCCGGAAATGAAGCATTAATTTACTCATGCAAACCGTTGTCCGTCAATGGTCAATGTATTTGACAAACATCGCGAGCCTTAAGCGTAATTTTCAGGCACAATGGCACTCTGCGTAACCTTCAAAGATCACTTTGTCACTTTCTTATCCTATTCATAGATCAAAACTGATTCATTTTAGTTTTTACTACAATAGTCGAACCTCCCCTTGCCATCCCCTCTCGTATTAAAAGCTACCACCTCTCATAAGCGACCACTTTTCAAAAATACCAAAAGTTTTCAAGCCAAATCACTATCGCTGGAACCCGTCGAAAGCGACTACGTCTCAAAAGCGACCACTTTCAGAGATGGTTATCAATTGCTTTTAACCTCCCGTAAGCGACCACCAAAAGTCGATATTTTGGAAGGTCGTTTACTAGAGGCTCGACTGTAGCTGTATATCGATTACTGAATTACTTTATGTCTTTATTCCTATTGATTTGTTGTTCATCTATCCGTCCACTCGTGTGTGTATGTGTGTATCTGTTTCAATGGCGGTCTGAGGGAGGTGTTATATTGGAAGCAAGTTGGGTCGTGCAAATCGTCACACGACCGTCTTGTACCTATCAAGTTTTAAACGCATTACTTCCAATAGTCATCTTTTCAATGAACTGTCTCGTTCACCGTCTGAAATTTTTAATTTGAAAAGAAAAGCAACAGATGAAAGAGGTGTGCTTGTTTCATCATAACAATCGAAGCGATGATTTTCGTTATAAACGCACCTGTGACCCTAGTTAACGACAGAAATATCAATCAAATGCGGGAAACATTTTCCACATCATTACCGTTTCCGACAACCAGGCTACCAATAATGCGTTCTCAGTACGTTTAAGATGTTAACTGTCATACTCTGTTAAACCTCTGATTAAAGGAAATGAAAAAGTCCACAGTCCTATTGGTTGAATTGTGAAGCGACCACAAGGTGAGTTAATTTAGTTCCGCCGAATGACGCTGTCGTACTTACTCACTCATTTATTATTTCAGACCGAATCATAGATGCAGGATCACATTGGTTCGCCAGCGTTCAAGCTGGTTGCAAGGAATTCTAGAAATAATTCCCCTTTCTTCAGGAGCGACTCAAACAACAACACGCCTCGGCCTAAGACACCGCCAATGAATAATCCCAAGCAGGAGAGAGACAGAGAAGGAGAACGTAAGTATATCGTTAGCAAACTGAACAGACCAGATCATGTCGACGCACAAATGTAGCGTCATGCCAGTGATATTGGTTCTTGTGGTGAGGTGATATTGTGCACTAAAAGTAATAAAACAAAATGAGATTTACCATTTGCATGGAGACCTTATGAACTGACGCGAAAATAAGTTTTTCATTTATCATGAAACAAGTGAAGGTTCGCCCAAAAAATTATAGTGAGATATATATTTTTAAAGTTACACCTGCGAAAATTAATTACATGCAATTTGAATTTTTCACCGAAAAAGCCATCATTACATTTAAGATGATAACGAATGGATGAGTGGCTGTTGTCATGAAACGTCATTGAAAAATGGGTAGAATCTTGATTCCGTACAGCAAAATGCATGTTGACGCTCTTATAAAGAAAGAACAAATGTGCGGAAAGTTTGATAAGAAAATTAGTAATTCATGGAGTCCTAATTATCAGATTTGATGTTCAAGGCCTGGACGAAAACTATAGTTTTAGTTATGCAGGGGCGGATCCAAGTTTTCTTTTTTATTAATTAGTTACATGAGAGCTACATATTATTGTGATTTGATCCGCGTTATAATAACTAAAGTTACCTGCAAACAGCTATTTAGGCTAAATTACGTTCTGATATGCTAATTTTGAACAATGCAATTTTTTATTTCAGTACAACAGGTTATTTGGCACTTTTATAACCAAGAAAAAACAAACATGAAAAATGACCGGGTAGTTGTCTTTGCATATTAATTTTTTGGAACGATTATTGAAAACGCCCGTAACAAGGCCTTAGGCCGTGTGGTTTCGGGCATCGATAAGAACTAGAAACATATGAGGAGCGAGAGGGGCATGGGCACGATCAGGACACTCGACTATAAGATCTGATAGTAAATTCTCCTGACCGGTGACCGTATATTTCTCTACTGGCCTTTCAAAAGGTCATTTTATATAGATAAAAGCTTTTCTTTTCCCAAGCATTTTTTGAGAGGTAGGCAAATTTACGTCACTAGTGAAAAAACATTAAGCACCTTGATCTATAAAAATAACTCTAATCAAGCTACGGGTACTGTGTGGAGAAATGAATAAAACATCTCTTCTATATTTAGACGCTGAGTTATTTACCTCAGTTTAGCTCACTTTATATTCTTTCATTTATTTATCTGTTTCAACCATTTTTCATATTTTGTATATTTTGTTTATTTTGTTTCATTTTTCACTGAACCAAACCTAAAACAACAGGACGAGCAGCAGCCTTGAACCTGGAATGGCTGAAAAGTTCCTTCAAGCTGTTAGAAAGTGCGCTGAGGGAGCGGAACAAACAGCTCGAGATACAAAAGAAGGAGATCGAGTTCTTACGGAACGAACTTAGAAGAAAAGATGACGTCATCAAGGAGTACGAAAACTTGATCAATGAACGAGAGGACATGGAGAAACAGGAAGTCGAAATTTTACACAAGGAAATTAGAATATTGCGTATGGACGTCATGTCTAAAGAGATGACAATACGAGAGCACCAGAGCGAGATTGAGAGACTGGACAGCAAAGTTGAAAAGCTCATGTCCGTTATGCCGCCTCCGTCTCTACCTCGCGCGCGCGCGCAGGGAGTATCCGCTGAACCAAAGAACCTGAACAACAACAGTCAAAAGCAGCTTAAACACTGCCCCAAAAAGCCAAGGTATGTAAGACGGAATATCATGTTATTAGTTTCTTTACCTCTCCTTTTTTTTTTGTAATACGTGCGAATGTATATCAAGGGAGGCGTATTAACCGTTCCCAGGAGCTCGCTGAAATTGTTAAAACCAAGCCCTTTGAGGGCTTTGCAGGGCCTTGAAATCAGGTTTTTTGTGTTTAATTAGGGGCAGGCGTCAAATTATGGTATTTCTGCCACTATTTGAGCATCCTTACTATAATCTATGCTAAATAAGTAAAAAGAGAAAAAAGTATCATTGGTCTTATTTGTATTGAATAAGTCACTCTTTCAGCCCAGCGGTTTGCGTTGATTTGTTTTAGTTGGACAGTAACGAGACAGTTAGTTACTGGCGCGTAAACAATTTCGAGTGGAGTCTGGCAACAAAAGAAGGGACTACATCGTGATTGCAAAGGAATACCGCATATTCGAAACAAAAAGCAATTTTTATTAATTTCTCATATAATTTTGAAAAAATAATACAATGGTAATAATAACAATGATAGACTTGAAAGAGTTGAACCAACTTAACGCTTCGTTCGCATCATTAAAACCAGCCATGTTGACTGGTTCGCCCTGTGGGTTTCCTCCAGCTACATAAAAATATGTTATATGTTATATGTTTTATACTTTGCCCTACTTTACCTCGACGACGTGGAAGCAAGTGTCTTACGTAAAATGAAAAAGAAGGCATAACTAAACAAACAAACAAAAAAAACAGTCATACAAAACAGGACGCTTCCCTTGAAATTCCCTCGATTAATTTTTAGCAGGCTCATTTGAAAATTAGAAAGTGTGAACGCAATAAAGAAAAAGAAGACAAAAATTCCTTTGAGCCGGATGGAATAAAGGGAGGATTTTTCATGATCACCATATGTAAAGGACATTGTAACCTCACCTCAAGTTTTATAGGTACAAGAAATAATTGTCTTCTAAACGCTGTTATCAGAAAGTTTTCCAAAGGGGCGTCCATCAACGAGAGAAAGAGGAAAAGGATACTGGGCTATTAACTGCATACTGCATGAACTTCCAATCACATTTCCAATTAGATAATCTTGACCTACATGCACACTGATGAACTGTAGCGTTTAGGCCAAATGAAGTCCCCTTCTTGCACTCAGTCACGTCTTATTCATAGTAACTCTGCGGTTATTCTATCACACGTAACCCTTTTGGCTATTCTGGCAAATATTAAAATGCTGAAAGAAGAAGAATTTTCGAAGAAGCAGAATTTTTCCATGATGCTTACAGAAAACAAATTTATCAGTGAAGAATCACAACCTTGTTTATGAGTGTTCTGAAAACCCCAAAATGCTGCCTTCTGGGCGAAAGTTTGATAAGATATTACAGAAATATGCAAATTCTCAAATTTGACCATTATCAATATTTTAAACTTCGCCTCAAGATTTGCTGATGGTCTACCGACAGAGTGTAATCCGAGTGGAACTGCCGGTAGGTATTGTTAATGGTAGTTAAAAGCTGGAATACAAATGATGCTAAGTTATAAATCGTGCATTGACTCTGAGAAGGTCAAGTTCGTGCACGTAGGCGTTTGGTTAATGTTCTCTCGTACGTGCTACACTCCAACTCAGCTCTCCACTCCACCGATCCACCCTCAAATAGCTCAAAGGCAATAATTTAGGAGATGACAAGCGATGCTCGTATTACTCGTAATAAAGGCTGTTTTCATGAGAAATATTATCCATGTCTTGAACTTTCATGAACACTTAGGCAAAGTCCTATTTAAAAGACCAAGGGTCGGAATATTGCGATCGCTAGAACATTTTGAACGGATCTCTAACATATCCTCATATGCCTTTCTGTGGTTTAATTACCCACTTTTTTGGGGGGAAATTTGTGAGTGAGGTAAAAATGGGTTTTTCTAACAAGGATCAACCCTGGTTAACGGTGATTTCCTGTAAAGGACCTTGGTTACGCAAGTATACAGGTGATCTTGTCCACAATGACCAAGGCACGTTCGTGGATGGAGGCATTTCATATTTGTTGGATAAGTTAACATCGTAAAATTCCCTGCTCAAAATATTAAGCACGGAAATTTTAAATATTTTCATGAATGGTGTTATCATTAAGTTTATCTCCTACACTTGACAATAGAATGTATTTTGACTTTTTTTCGTCTAATGGAAAATTATCAGTGTTCCAATGTTTTCGGAAGGAATTATGTTGTAAGTGCGTGTAAGGAGAAGTGCTATTTGATTGATTTGATATTGTTTTACCAATTTCATAATCCCTTGATTTAAAACGAGGTAGCTCGGAATATACAGCTTAAATACTTGTGGCAGGATTATTGTCACCTAAAGCCCACTTTACACCAGGTATTTACAGGAAGGAAGAAAAAATTATACCAAGTCAACATTTTCACCCGAAAACTTGCTTGAAACGTGTGGATAACATACCTTAACAATAGGCAGAGGCGTTACCACAACGTTCTGGTGGTTTTAAGAACAAATTTTTCCTTCTTTCTGCATCTTGGCGAATTTGTGTTGTACGTGAATGGATATTTTTAGCCTTAGGCAGGTGCAGGTAGCGCTGTTTTGACTACTGGAAGCGAGGAATGAGACACGCGACCTTCCGCGATTGTCTTTACACGTTCCTGTTTCCTACGCGCGCAATCTTCTCAAGCCAAAGATTATCGCCAATAATTTACAGTACTGTTTGGGTGAAGAAAAATTTTAACTTTTTTTTCTTTTCTATCTGGGGGCTTTTTCAATGATAATCTGATATTTACGTGTAGGTACTTAGTTACTCTTTTTTTATGTTAAAAAAAAAAGACTGGATGATAAAGGATAAATCTAGTGTGCGCCTCAGGGGTAAAAAGATCGCGTCAACTTTTTCCCTCTTCCTATCACTTGCTTACGTTTATTGTCTGCAAAATATTTATTTATGTAAATGTAAATGGAACAGTTTTGATAATCCAATGTCTCGCGTTAAAAGGCAGAACGCGAGGTTGAATAGCTTTTTGACAGAAGATTCTGCTCGATTCATTTTATTAATGTACTTTCAATCAGAATATTTTTGGGCCACCTATTTTACGCTTTGTTATCAATTTCCCGATGCTCTAAGGTGAAGAAACAGATTTCAGTGGCAGAATTGTGCGGCCTTCCCTGGCTGGAGTAATTAGCTTTTTGTACCAAATATACGATGAAATCATGCCAGCTTCAAATTCCACCTCCTTACTCGTTCACACTCACGGCATTGCCCAAACAGACCAAACTTATATGTGAACAAGTGATGATAAATACCAGATGAAGAAGAAATACAATTGTCATTTAGATATTTTAAGGATGTTGCTTATGGCATACCACGCATTTTGACTGCATAAGTGAAAATCAATAGTCGACATCAATACTAATGGCTAATCGGGGTTTTTTAGAGGGGGGAGGGGTGGGGAAACATCTTGCCCCTTGTTTATGATGATCCGTCACGTTGTCCGTCGTCTTATGATGATTTTTCTCTGATGGAGTATTTATTTTCAAGCCTCGAAGAAGGATCTTTGTTAGCTCTCTAAAAAAAATTGTAAAAAAAGAAAAAAATATACATTTTTGTTTTATATCAAAAGTAGATGTTGAACCCCGCACGGTTCGTTATCAATTCTGACTGGCCACAGCTGTATAACACGGAAAGTTCATTCACTCAACAGCTCTGTCCTCCTCGCAGTGTTTAACATTTTTCCGCATTAACCCAACCTATAATATCCGAAAGATGGTGAATGCTTTAACAAAGCGGACAATTCTTTGTTCCTCAGTCATTCCTCGTTCAACTAAATGCAAATGTGACAGAATTTTTTTGCAATTTAACGAATATCGGTGCCGAATACCCGGCGCTGAAGTTGTCACCAGAAAGAAATAACAAAACGGCTTGGTTCGAACTCATATAAACTGTGTTAGGCAGGTGGTATCAAATCATTACTGCTTTTATCTTATTAAGTTGGAAAATACCTTTAGTGATGAAATTGTTGATAAGTTCAATTCAAGTTGAGCCGAACGGCACGCTATTAATATTTGAACGAATCATCGTTCAAAATCTTTACCATTTTTATCTTTTTGTTGTTGTTGTTGTTTTTTTTTTATGGACAATTCTGTCAAACCATTTTGTGTAGTTGATTTCAGTCTCAAAATTGCGTCGTCGTTCTGGAAAATTTAGTTATCACATCTCAGACGAAGAATTAAATTGCTGGCGAGAATAAAGTCGTATTCATTTAATAGAATGTTAATTAGCAGTTAAAACTTCCACTTATGATGCGGTAATTTCAACTCTTTGTAGCCTAGCACTGTCACTTTTCTACCCTTTTGTGGTCCTGATATGCAAATTTAACCAATAAAATAAAGGGACTCCAACAGGAAATGTAAACAGTCTTAATGCTTTAAGATTTTGTGTCGAAAACACTCCAATGAGTGTGTTTTAGGAACAAAAAGAAAGACAATTCGATCATAATTTAAGTAAAAGAATCACCGCTTGATGACCTTTTTTCTACGGGGCAAGTGACTTGAAGAGTGATAGGTTTACATCCGGTTGCTTTTAAGTTTTGTAAGGTAGACTGCGAAAAGGGTAAAAAAAAAAGGGGCCAAATCGTACGTAAGCACAGAGAAAAGGACTAAAGAGATTATTCTTCAATAAAACTATTGTTTTATCCTTTGTTGGTGCTCGGCGCGGTAAACAAGGCGCCGCTGGTTTGAACTGACAGCTCTCTACCTACCTTTTCTTTGTTATTGTTCTTTATGATTTTTTTTTCCGTGATGTCTGAAAATAGTGCCCGCTGCTTGATATCCTTCATATCTACTGGCGTCGCAAAGTTTGTGAGACCTGTCACCAGCAGAATATCTTCGTGGGATTTTAGTTCAGAGTGTGATTAAAGGTCAAGTCCTCAAAACGCACAAAATTTGTCTGGATTAAAATATTCTTCAAGTTAAGTGTAAATGAGATAAGCGCTGTAAATGGTATTTGACGGTTATGTTGTCTAATTTCGG